GAGAGTAGGTTGACGTATACTGTTCGCTACTGTTAACCAATATTTTGGGATGCAAGTCAAAACCGCTCGATGTACAAGCGTTATTCGCTCTTTGAACAACCGGGCCCGACTGGAAAATTCTATTGTAAAGATCTGCAGCTGCTCATACCGGCTACTGGATGAACTTTTCGCCGACAAAGATACCTTCTTTCTATGCACAGCTTTCGCCTTGAATGATATTTAATGTAAAGATACAGAGGTGAATTAAGCAATACTTTGGGCAAAAACATTATTCGATAAGATTGTTGTGAATTGAGAACGTAACGATAGCGCTAGCCGAAGCTCATTCACAAACTAAGTCGCTGCCAAGGAAGGATTAGAATGTTCTGTGGCAGTTTGTTGACTCTTGAAAGCTCCAGATGAATTTCACGGTTTTTCCTTCTCCGTCAACCTTGGCTCCGGAAAACTTTCTGTCAACGCCGGGCGAAGCTTTGCATCAGCAAAATAAATCTGATTTCAAGACACCGCTTTGCGACCAACGTCTTGATGAGGCGTTTTGGGTTGTAAACGGTATTATTGGTGTAGTGATTTTACTTGGGAACAGTTTCACGTGCACTGTATTCTTATCAAGTTCTTACTTGAGGCGAAACTACATGAACATCTATTTGCTCAGCCTGGGTGTCGCTGATATTTCAATGGCCGTGTTAGTGGTACCAGGGTTCGCCGCATTTTGCAGTGGCTGCACTTACAAATGGAGCGAGTACTGCTGGTTTTTTGGAGGCGCGAGAGATATATCATTTCCTGCTACTGTCCTCAATGTATTAGCCATCACCTACGACAGATACACGGCCGTCATAAGACCGCTTCATTACGCATCCACGATGACTAATCGCAAAGTTTTCACCATTCTCGTTGCCGTCTGGGTTACACCCCTCGTTGTCTGGTCCCTGAGAAATATTTGGTTTCATTCGTGGAGTGAAGAAGCAGTTAAGAAGGCCGACACAGTTTACAATGCAGTCCTTATTACAATCTTCGTTTTCTTGCCTCTTCCAGTGTTGTTCATTGTTAACCTTCAGATTATGAGGGCTATCAAGAGTCATGGAAGTCGGATTCACGCAGATATGGTCGAACGGATGCATCTGTCTTTCCAGTCTTCTACAATCGTCACAGTTACAGAACCTTCCACGAGGGAATTTGGAAACGAACTCGTGAGTAATGCAGATTTAAATGTGCAAAATCGGAGGAACATTTCACGACGGAGAAAAGGAACTTTGTCCTGTGTTCTAGTGGTTTTTATTTTTATCATTTCTTGGCTCCCGAGAGCTTTTCTAAATTTCTGCTACCTTTTCGGTCGACGAGACTTAACAAGCCCCATGCTTATAAAACTTTCTTTGTTTTTGCTTTTCTTTCAGTCTTCTGTCAACCCTGCGATATATTGCTTTCTTAGAAATGATTTCCGCCAAGCAGCTAAGCGGTTAATTAAATGGCGTTAACTGTAAAAATCATTAGTTCCATAAACTTAAAGTAAATTCAGTTTTTGTGGCGAGATCTGACAGATGGACGCGAAAAAATTGAACTTTTTTGCTTGAAATTAATCATACTGAGCAGACATTTTTGGTTGGTACAGAAGGTGTGAAAAGTAAGCATTCAGACGAGATTAACAGATATAATAGATTAACAGTACGTGGGTAAATAAATGATTGATTGATTGATGTCGTCATTTCCCGTTTATTTACGGTTTTTTGTGCAAACAGTCATTGCCTATAATAATAATAGAACGAAAATTACATGGTTGCTTGCTATTGAAGATATGATTTTTTTTTTTCTCGTGTTAAAAGAACAATTTCTTACTCACTCGGCATGCTTCTTTTTTTTTTTTTTTGCTATGCTCGTTTGAAACACTGTTTTCCCACTTGAAAATAAGGGAGTGTCCACACTAAGCCGCTTTATTTCTACGATTTGCCCTACCGTCCACACTAATCCGTCGCGAAAACGGAGCTTTTCGAAAACGCTCTTCAAACCAGAGGTATTTGAAAACGCCACCTCTCTGGTTTAACGTGAACAGAAACCGTTTTGAAAATGGAGCTTTTGGAAAACGATGACATTACGATATTCAAGTGATTTCTCAGCCCAAGTTTTTCTCAAACACAAATTCAAAATTACCCGCAAAATGCCACGCTCAATATATCAATATTTTAACATGGCTCCGAGGCTAGATTCCAGGACAAACTTCTTTATCATTCGATACATTTTTTTCTTCCTTTTCATTGACCGAAAGCCAGTCACATGACTTGCAAATAATGTTCTGTTCATACGTAGTACCGTCTTATTAACAAATTGACGTCAGCTTTTCGTGCGTCTCTCCTCTCATTCATGATAAATTGCGTCATAACATTGTCAAAGTGGCTGTGGAACCACGAGCCGCAGGCGAGTGGTTCCGCAGTAAACTTTGACAATGTTATGACGGAATTTATCATCAATGAGAGGACAGACGCATAAATAACCGCCATCAATTTGTTTTTTACAATAACAAGACCCCAAAATGGTCAAATGCCAGGAATAAATGAGGGGAAAAGACGCCATAAACTTGCCGTAAACAAAGACAAGTGAATTTTGTTCAAAATGACGCGAACAGTGTCAATAGATTTTTTTCGCTTTTTGATTGGCTACTTAAAAAAGTCCATAAAATCTTATTGATTAAAAAGTTGACAGTTTGACAGCTGAAAGTTGAACTAAAAAGCTTGCATAAATTAAAATTTTATCTGTCTGTGCTCTTATTGATGATAAAAATGAGCCAATCAGCGCGCGAAAAATAAGACAGTTATTGTAAAATGTGTTTTGCTGCAAATAATATTCTGCTCATGCGTAATTGTAACCATGATCTCTGGTGAAAAATGGCAGATTGCTCCCCTGAGCTGTCAGAGAGTGACTTAAATAAGAAAACTAACTTGATGATCGAATGATAAAACGATTATTGAACTCAGTTATCGCAAAATGTCGTTATTTGTCAGTGTCTCGCAGATCAATTATTTGCCTCAGCGTTCGGCTTGGGCAAAGATAATTGATCTGCTCTCCACTGACAAATCACGATATTTTGCTCAACCTCGTCCAATAATTATTAAATATTTGGTGTAGTTTTCTTTGTATCCAAGTCTCTTTTGGGAATTGAGAAACAAAAGAAACTTTCAAAATTTATAATTTTGACCCGAAAGTCTCGGAGCCATGTTAGAATATTACTATATCGATCGTGGCCTATTGATGCGTTTTAGAATTTCTCCGGGGTAGGGAGGACGGGCCTAACATCATCTCTCTCTATTTTTTTTTTTACGTCTCCTCCAAGTAATATGTGCACGCCCATGCGGATTCTCACAGCGCGGGTCATCTCTATTTCTTTCAACGCTTGCGACAAACTGCTGAAAACAAAACGCGACATGCACGAGGCATGTGGCTTGATTTATACACTTACATGTATTCGGACTGCAGTCTAAAGCATTTCTTTGAATAAAGGTTTACTGTCTGAGGTCCTTTACTCAGTAAAAAATTACAACGGGAGTTGCAGAATTAAGACTGTGATTGGCAAGTCAATTGCACAAGCTTTGAAGAAGCTCTCACGGCCTTTGTGGTTAAGGTAAGCATTTCAATTTACTTTCCACAATAAATGCATCTGATATTTACACTGTAGCACTAAAAGCGACTTAACCCAACCTTGAACTGCTAAATACTTCAATTAGACAGGCTTATCCGCTGCAATAAACTACCTAGTCAATAGTCTCGGTGCGTGCAAAAGTAAATTATATGAGTTGCGTTCCTAGCAGTCAGTTCTCGTTTAATTGTTTAGCTATAACAAGCTCACTGAATGATATAGGCGATCAGTTCCCAGTTTCCTTAGTATATTTCGCGCTCACTCTCAAGAGAAAGAGAACGCCTGGGGAGGGGACCAAGAAACCACAACTATAACAAGCTTTGATATTAACTACTTATTAACCGAGAGTGAGGTAGATCAACAAGGCAAGGCTGTGGTTTGAGAATTTCCCGTAAAGCCAGACCGAACAATAACGTTCGAAGTTAATAAGTTCTTTATTATATGGCTTTTTGCTTTGTCTTTGCAGGCCCGCAGTCGGTCCGTGGACATCACGGGAGAACAATTCCTTAGAGCTAGCCAATCAGAGCGCACGTTATGTAGGCTACAAACACAAACCATATAATAATGATAAAATATTCTTCGCTAAAGTAATCACAATCCAGAAACAGCATCAGCTAATCGAGAAGGGAAGTGACGAGCGAGAAAAGTACGGATAGAAACAAAATACCACAGGAGAAAGGCAAGTTACAAAAATAGGAAAAAAACGAATAATATACAGCTACGGGTTATGACAAATTTACTAAAGGAAGGCAAGAAAAGAGACCAAATAGCTAGGTATCAAGACCAAATTGTGGGGCTAGAATTCCTGGGTTAGGTTTGGGTAAATATCTTGAGTTGTGATTGGCCGGTGGTTTCCAGAGGCAACCATTGACCAGTCACAAATCAGGTACTCATGTACTGAAAATGTCGCAAAGACTATTTACTGACAGATAACGCGAAAATAAACGTTTGAACGTCGCGATCATGGTGCGTGGTTGTTTCACGTTTCCTCCCAAAGACAACAATAACTCTGGAGGGTCTCTTCAAGTTTATTGATAATAACTGCAGTAATGACGTTTCCGGTATCATACCCTGAGAAATGTACTCAAACACGACATTTGCTGGTATCATTAGATTCCATCCTGTTTATTCAATAAGCATTGCGATCGATCTTCATTGTTACTCCGGAAAATTGTCGAACAGCAATATTTACGATTTTTCAAATTCAAAGAGTCACGAAAAATTCTTCTTAAAGTTCTATAGCCCAAGGAAGGGTTTCCGCAACCTCTTTCCAATATAATTTCAAGCCGTTTAAATCTTTAGAATTCCTTATTTTGGTAAACATAATTCTTTTTTTAAAATTAGCCGAATGCAAACATCCTTTCTCTCAGTAAATAAGTCTGAGTCAGTAAAATAAAATATTATTCCAGTTGTTAACTTTCTTTAATGAGAAGCTTGTACAAAGGGAACGATAGTTCAGTTTCAAGTTGTCGAGAGTAGGTTGACGTATACTGTTCGCTACTGTTAACCAATATTTTGGGATGCAAGTCAAAACCGCTCGATGTACAAGCGTTATTCGCTCTTTGAACAACCGGGCCCGACTGGAAAATTCTATTGTAAAGATCTGCAGCTGCTCATACCGGCTACTGGATGAACTTTTCGCCGACAAAGATACCTTCTTTCTATGCACAGCTTTCGCCTTGAATGATATTTAATGTAAAGATACAGAGGTGAATTAAGCAATACTTTGGGCAAAAACATTATTCGATAAGATTGTTGTGAATTGAGAACGTAACGATAGCGCTAGCCGAAGCTCATTCACAAACTAAGTCGCTGCCAAGGAAGGATTAGAATGTTCTGTGGCAGTTTGTTGATACTCTTGAAAGCTCCAGATGAATTTCACGGTTTTTCCTTCTCCGTCAACCTTGGCTCCGGAAAACTTTCTGTCAACGCCGGGCGAAGCTTTGCATCAGCAAAATAAATCTGATTTCAAGACACCGCTTTGCGACCAACGTCTTGATGAGGCGTTTTGGGTTGTAAACGGTATTATTGGTGTAGTGATTTTACTTGGGAACAGTTTCACGTGCACTGTATTCTTATCAAGTTCTTACTCGAGGCGAAACTACATGAACATCTATTTGCTCAGCCTGGGTGTCGCTGATATTTCAATGGCCGTGTTAGTGGTACCAGGCTTTGCCGCATTTTGCAGTGGCTGCACTTACAAATGGAGCGAGTACTGCTGGTTTTTTGGAGGCGCGAGAGATATATCATTTTCTGCTACTGTCCTCAATGTATTAGCCATCACCTACGACAGATACACGGCCGTTGTAAGACCGCTTCATTACGCATCCACGATGACTAATCGCAAAGTTTTCACCATTCTCGTTGCCGTCTGGGTTACACCCCTCGTTGTCTCGTCCCTGAGAAATATTTGGTTTCATTCGTGGAGTGAAGAAGCAGTTAAGAAGGCCGACACAGTTTACAATGCAGTCCTTATTACAATTTTCGTTTTCTTGCCTCTTCCAGTGTTGTTCATTGTTAACCTTCAGATTATGAGGGCTATCAAGAGTCATGGAAGTCGGATTCACGCAGATATGGTCGAACGGATGCATCTGTCTTTCCAGTCTTCTACAATCGTCACAGTTACAGAACCTTCCACGAGGGAATTTGGAAACGAACTCGTGAGTAATGCAGATTTAAATGTGCAAAATCGGAGGAACATTTCACGACGGAGAAAAGGAACTTTGTCCTGTGTTCTAGTGGTTTTTATTTTTATCATTTCTTGGCTCCCGAGAGCTTTTCTAAATTTCTGCTACCTTTTCGGTCGACGAGACTTAACAAGCCCCATGCTTATAAAACTTTCTTTGTTTTTGCTTTTCTTTCAGTCTTCTGTCAACCCTGCGATATATTGCTTTCTTAGAAATGATTTCCGCCAAGCAGCTAAGCGGTTAATTAAATGGCGTTAACTGTAAAAATCATTAGTTCCATAAGCTTAAAGTAAATTCAGTTTTTGAGTTTTAATCTGACAGATAGATGCGAAAAAACTGAACGCTTTTTGTTCATAATTAATCACATTGAGCAGACATGTTTGGTTGGTACAGAAGGTGTGAAAATTAAGTATTCTGACGAAATTAACAGATTTAAATGTTAGAAGACTAATTGAAGATAGAATTTTTCAAAATAATTGCTTGAGAAGATGAAAAAATATTCGTTGTAGTTAATGTTGGCACTTTGTTCTCATTGTAAAGTAGCATGCCGGATTAAGTGCCTCAGAATATCTTTTACAGTAAAATAACAATTAATATGGCAACAGATAGAGAAACTTTAATTGTCATTTTATTGTAAAGATGTGTTTGCACAAAAAACCAGGTGAAATACTTGGCTCGATTTCCGCCGCTCTCTCGAGTCCCGTCAACTTGGGGATAGCAGAGAGAAGATATAATTAACAGAACCATCTCTACAACTGTCTTGCAGGCTTCTGTCGAGAAACGGACGCTCCACGTATATCTTCACCCTGGAGTTCCCCATATTCAATCTTGTTTTCTTCAAGTTTATTGAGAAACTGCGTGGCGTTTTTCTCATTTCCTCACTAGTGAAGATATTGATATATATTTTTCATTTTTTTATTTTCGTTTTTTATCTGCACGTACGTATTTTGAACGAGCTTTTAACTCACTAGACGATACGTGGGTAAATAAATGATTGATTGATTGATGTCGTCATTTCCCGCTTTTTCACGGTTTTTTATGCAAACAGTCATTGCCTATAATAATCGAAAAAAAAAAAACATTGTTACTTGCAATTGAAGATATGACCAATCACAAATCACGTACTTATGCGCTAATTAATCATTTTGTTAAAAAGTTGACAACGAGCCAAGTGGCCCATCAGGCCGGAGCTTATCCCTGTTTCTGTAGCATGAAGCGGCTAGGAGTATTTCTACTCCCCCCTGGATGGGATGCTAGCTCATCGCAGGGTTACCCCCCTCATTACATTCGCCGGTACCCATTTATACACCTGGGCGGAGAGAGGCACTGTGAGAGTTAAGCGTCTTACCCAAGAACACAACACAATGTCCCCGGCCCGGACTGCTCGATCCGGAGTCGAGCGCACTAACCATAAGCCAACTGCATTTCTCACGAGGGAGCTTCAGCAACGACGACGGCGACGCCGAGAACGACGCCAAGTCAAAATTGAATTTATATTTTATCAGTGAAATTCGTGATTGTCTAGATCTGTTCAGTACCCTAATGGCTCTAAAAACATGCTCCAGCTATATATGCAATGAGAGCGTTCAATTCCAAATGTAAATACAGAAAATTAGCCTTAGTCGTTCACGTTCCTCAGGCTACGCAGAACTTGGTCATTTCACGTTCTTGGGGGACTTAAGCAATAACGACGACGACACCGAAGACAACCCTTAGTAAAAAATGAATTTATATTTTACCTTCGAATTTCTCAACTGTCTAGATCTGTTCAGTGCGCCTACTGGTCTCAGAACGTGCTCAAGCTAAATATGTTACGCCAGCGTTCAAATAATATTCCAAATGAAAATACGAAAATTTAGCCGCTGTCGTTTGCGTTCTCCAAAATATGTAGAACTTGTTCATTTCACGTTCGTGTTTTGCAGAGAACGGCAGAGAAATGTACAAAGATCTATAACGCACGAGCACAGCTATTGTTTTGCTCATTAAACCTTTTGTTTGGTGACATTCTCGTTGCCGTTGTCGTCGTGGTTTTCCTAAGCTCATTACTCGAAAATAAACGCTTTACGATCATGGTGCGTGCTTGTCTCAGGTTACGTCCCAAAGACAACAATAACTCTGAAGGGTCTCTTCAAGTTTATGGACAATTATTGCAGTAATGACCACTCTGGTAGTATATACCCTTAGAAATGTACTCAAACATGACATAAGCTGGTATCATTAGATCCCATCCTGTTTATTCAATGAGTATGGCGATCGATTTTCATTGATACACCGGAAAAAATACTTGTCGATGAGTAATATTTACGATTTTTCAAATTCAATATTCCTGAGCAATTCTCCCTTGAGTTCTAGAGTACAAGGAAGGGTTTTAGCCAACGCTTTTTTTTTAAATAAGCCGAAGGCTAACGTCCTTTCTCTCTGTAAATAAATCTCAGTAGGTAAATTGAAATTATTCCAGCTGTTATTTTTTTTTTAATGAGAAGCTTGTGCAAAGTGAACGACAATTGAAATTGAAGTTGTCGAAAGTACGTTGACGCATACTGTTAGCTACTGTTAACCAATATTCAGGGATGCAAATATATAAAAATTGCTGGATATGGAAGTGTCATTCGCTTTCTGGAGAACCGGAGCCGACTGGACAAGTCTATTGTAAAGATCTGCCGTTACTCATACCGGCTACTGGATGAACTTTTCGCCCGGCCGACAAAGATACCTTCTTTCTATGCACAGTATTCGCCTTGAATAATATTCAGTGTAAATATACTTATGTGAATTAAGCAATACTTTGGGGGAAAACATTATTCGAAAAGATTGTTGTGAATTGAGAACGTAACGATAGCCGAAACTCATTCAAAAACGAAGTCGTTGCCAAGAAAGGGTTAGAAAGTTCTGTGGCAGTTTGTTGATACTCTTGAAAGCTCCAGATGAATTTTTCGGTTTTTCCTTCTCCGTCAGCCTTGGCTCCAGAAAACTTTCTATCAACGCTGGGCGAAGCTTTGCAGCCGCAAAATAAATCTGATTTCAAGACACCGCTTTGCGACCGACGCCTTGATGAGGTGTTTTGGGTTGTAAACGGTATCACTGCTGTGGTCATTTTACTTGGGAACAGTTTCACGTGCACTGTGTTCTTATCAAGTTCTTACTTGAGGCGAAACTACATGAACATCTATTTGATCAGCCTGGGTGTCGCTGATATTTCAATGGCCGTGTTAGTGGTACCAGGGTTCGCCGCATTTTGCAGTGGCTGCACTTACAAATGGAGCGAGTACTGCTGGTTTTTTGGAGGCGCGAGAGATATATCATTTCCTGCTACTGTCCTCAATGTATTAGCCATCACCTACGACAGATACACGGCCGTCATAAGACCGCTTCATTACGCATCCACGATGACTAATCGCAAAGTTTTCACCATTCTCGTTGCCGTCTGGGTTACACCCCTCGTTGTCTGGTCCCTGAGAAATATTTGGTTTCATTCGTGGAGTGAAGAAGCAGTTAAGAAGGCCGACACAGTTTACAATGCAGTCCTTATTACAATTTTCGTTTTCTTGCCTCTTCCAGTGTTGTTCATTGTTAACCTTCAGATTATGAGGGCTATCAAGAGTCATGGAAGTCGGATTCACGCAGATATGGTCGAACGGATGCATCTGTCTTTCCAGTCTTCTACAATCGTCACAGTTACAGAACCTTCCACGAGGGAATTTGGAAACGAACTCGTGAGTAATGCAGATTTAAATGCGCAAAATCGGAGGAACACTTTACGACGAAGAAAAGGAACTTTGTCCTGTGTTCTGGTGGTTTTTATTTTTATCATTGCTTGGCTCCCGAGAGCTTTTCTAAATTTCTGCAACCTTTTAGGCCGACGAGACTTAACAAGCCCCATGCTTGTAAAACTTTCAGTGTTTTTGCTTTTCTTTCAGTCTTCTGTCAACCCTGCGATATATTGCTTTTTTAGGGATGATTTCCGCCAAGCAGCTAAGCGGTTAATTAAATGGCGTTAACTGTAAAAATCATTAGTTCCATAAGCTTAAAGCAAATTCAATTTTTGTGTTGTGATCTGACAGATGGATGCGAAAAAACTGAACGTTTTTGTTCATAATTAATCATATTGAGCACACATTGTGGTTGGTACAGAAGGTGTGAAAATGAAGTATTCAGACAAAATTAACAGATATAAGTGTTAGAAGACTAATGAACGATAGAATTTTTCAAAATAATTGCTTGAGAAGTGGAAAAAATGTTCGTTGTAGTTAATGTTGGCACTTTGTTCTCATTGTTAAGTGGCATGCCGGATTAAGTGCCTCAGAATATCTTTTACAGTAAAATAAACAATTAATATGGCAACAGATAGAAAAACTTATAATTTTATTCTAGAGCTGTGTTTACACAAAACCAGGTGAAATACTTGGCTCGATTTCCGCCGCTCTCTCGAGTCCTGTCAACGTCTCCGCACCTCACCCCCCCCTTCGACCACCCCTCCCCCCAAGTGCTCCTTTCCCAAACAGTGGCTGGTTATCTAGCCTAGTGAAATCTCCATTGTCCTTTTTTAGAATTTCGATGCATTGTCCTTTTTTAGAATCTCGATCTTAGGTTGCCCAAGCAAAATCCACTCCGCTCATGGGATTGACGCCTTTCGCTTAATTTTCGAATCTTTACTTTGCCGGAAAGTATAAATTTTCGATTCTACCAGTAATTGACAGTTACGGTTTATTTGAGCTAAAAAATTGAACCACTGTAATGATATTGGAGATTTAGTCTTTGATTATGTCTATCGCAAGAGAAGATCAAGGTAAGAGAGTGAATCAGATAGGCTTTATTTCCAAGGAAATCTTTCTTAAGTTATTTTTAGACATGGTACCCAGTTCTTTCGAGGATGTTACTCGTGCGATGTGTGAACAACAAAACTACCTGAGACGAAATGGCAGAAATGCGGAGAAGTGGAGAGCATATATTCAACTACGATGAAAAATCCTGGGAGGTCATCAGTTTGGGCATTTTCCGACTATTTTGCTTTCGTTTTATAATTTTTCTTCCGGTGTCAGGCTATCCTCAAACAGAGTGTATGAAGACACCGCATAAGTCCAAATAGTAAAACCCAAAATTCACCGTTTCGGGTTATGCTACTCTGTTAAACGTAGAATTTGTTGATGGCACGTTGTTGTTTAGCTCAGGACTGCCGAGAAAACTAACTAGGTACGTAGCTCGAGCAAAACGTTTAAATCATACAAGAAACAGCACTAGATTTATATTACAAGGAAATTGAGAGTTCATCGGCCCAGGCCGCGTGGCCGGGTCTTGGGCGGAATCAAAAAAGATGATTGAGATGACCCTCTCTGAAAAAGGGGTGGCCTGGGCCAAGAGTACCCAAGCGAGCACTTACAAGGTTATCTAGGGAAGAGGACACGAAATAAACAAATAGGCGTGCAGAACGGTTTATAGTAATGCCATAGTCATTTTAGGGTTAACTCATAGTTAGCAGAGAGAAGATATAATTAACAGAACCATCTCTACAGCTGTTTCACAGGCTTCTGTCGAGAAATGGACGCTCCACGTATGTCTTGGGGTTTCCTACATTCAATCGATCTTGTTTTCTTCAAGTTCATCCAGAAGCTGAGTGGCGTATTTCTCACATTCTCACTAGAGAGAATATTGATATATATTTTTCATTTTGTTATTTTCGTTTTTTTATCTGCACTTATACCTACGCATTTTGAACGAACTTTTAGCTCACTAGACGATACGTGGGTAAATAAATGATTGATTGATTGATTGATGACGTCATTTCCCGCTTTTCACGGTTTTTTTATGCAAACAGTCATTGCTTATAATAATCGAAAAAAATTACACTGTTGCTTGCAATTGAAGATATGGATTTTATTTTCTCGCTTTTAAAAAAAACAGCAATACCTTACTCACTCGCTATGCTGTCTTTTTGTTTTTTATTCTCGCTATGCTCGTTTGAAAAACTGTTTTCCCGCTTGAAAATAAGGCAGCATCCATCCACACTACCCCCGGAGAAATTTGAAAACGCAGCCTTCTTTCTATGGTTTGGCCTACCGTCCACACTAATCGGTCGCAAAACGGAGCTTTTAGAAAACGCTCTTTAAATCGGAGGAATTTGAAAACGCCGGATTTGTGTTTTAACGTGGACAGAAAACATTTTGAAAACGGAGCTTTTCGAAAGCGATGACATCACGATAATTACGTGATTTCTCAGCCCAAGATTTCCTCAAACACAAATCCAAATTGCCCTGCGATTGATGCGTTTTAGAATTTCTCCGGCGCAGGCTGGACAGGGCCTAACATCATCTCTCTCTACATATTTTTGATCTGCTCCTCTCGCCCTCGCAAGTAATGAGTGCGCGCTCCTGCAGATCATGGCGCGGGTCATCTCAATTTTTTTCAAAGGGTGCGACAAACTACTGAAAACAATGCGGACATGCACGAGGCACGTGGCTTGTTTTATACACGTATTTCGACTACAATCGAAAGCATTCCTTTTAATAAAGATCGGCACTGTCTGAGGTCTTTTACTCAGTAATTTTTTCATGGGGAGTTTCAAAATTAAAACTGTGATTGGAAAGTCAATCAACTGCACAAGATTTGAAGAAGCTCTCATGGCCTTTGTGGTTAAGGTAAGCATTTCAGTTTACTTTTCACAATAAAAGCATCTGATATTTACCCTGAACACTAAAAGCAACTTAAAACAGCTGCCGAAAAACCAACCTTAAACTGTTAAATACTTTAATTAGTCAGGCTTATCCGCTGCAATAAACTTTCTGGCTAATATAGTCTCGGTGCATGCAAACGTAAATTATATGAATTGCGCTCCTAGCAGTCAGTTCGCATATGTTCAGTTATAACAAACTCACAGCTAGCGCCTGCATCCCGAATTTCGATCTTTGGAGGCTCAGCGATGCCGAATATTTCTGCACTTAATCAGTCAATTCTTAGGTTTCCTGGCCCTCCAGAACTTCCCGTCTTCCACCCTAATGTTGGTGTAAGCGACGATGATGAAAACTGCAGCAAAAAGCTAGATTTTCTCTTCTGGATCATTAACGGTGTCATCGGAGTTTTTATTCTGTCCGGAAACACTGTCACTTGCGCGGCTTTTCTTCGCTTCGAGAACCTCCGGCGCAGCTATATGAACCTTCTCTTGCTCAGCCTTGCCATTTGTGATGTTCTCATGGCGGTCACAGTCACACCTGGATATGCCGCTTTTTGCACTGGCTGCCGATATGGCTTCAGCAAGTTTTGTTGGGTTTTCGAAGGCGGCAAAGATGTCTGTTTTCTGAGCTCCACGTTTAATCTGCTAGCGATCTCGTATGACAGACAGTTGGCCATATTTCAGCCACTCAAATACCAGACCAAGATGTCGCGAAAGAAAATTCGATACATTCTGTCGGCGGTTTGGATTGGTCCTCTCTTCCTCGCCTCTGTAAGAAACATATGGTCCCACAATCAACCGCCGCATGTGGTTGAACAGTGGAACAGAACCTATTCATACATTCTCCTGTGTGTTTTTGTCATAGTTCCTATTGTGATCGTCAGCGTTATCAATGCAGCAATTTTCACCGCCATTAGGAAACAAAGGCGAAGAATAACCGCCTTCAACTGTAACAATTACAAATACTGGTGGAAGAAGAAACATCGCATGCAATATATACAAATGCGAAAGGGAACTCTTTCATGTGTGTTAGTAGTTATTACTTTCGTAGTCTGTTGGCTTCCTAGAAATTTTTATTACTTCTTTTACTTGTTCAACCATCCCGAGTTTGTTACTCCGTTACTAAGTAAAATTTCAGTGACTTTTCTCTTGTTCCAATCTTCGACAAACCCTCTCATTTACTGTTTTTACAGAAGGGAGTTCCGCCAAGCCGTCAGAACTTTAATTAAATGTCAGTAGTGTTGAGCAAGCCTCATACAGTTTTGATTCTACTAGTTACGTCATTCGGATAATTTATGTCAATCAAGATATCCCAACAGCTGATGTAAACAATTAAAATGTCAAATTTAATAATTCTTTATTGTTTTCTGTACTCTCTCTAATTTATATTCGTTATTTTGCGGTTCCGCTCATAAAAGTTGTTATGTAAATAAGTACAAGCGTATGGACTAAGTATATAACTCAGTGTTTTTGGCTGAAAATGTTTGATTTAAACAATCGCTTTTGGGCAGGGGGCAACAGGAAACGGAGACCCGGGCACAGGAGGGGGAGAACTCTATGGGAGGCGGGGAGAGAGAGAGAGAGAGGATGGAAAGTAATTAAACATTGCGTAATTTTTGTAATACATGAACAGTCACCATTAAAGGGCGGTAACATTGATGATTTACGTTTCTGAGTAGGAGGCAAAAATAGTGAAACGCGGGATTTTTGATACAACTAGGAGTCCTCTGTAACCACAAGACCGAAAGCCTGACCAAACGCGATTCTTTAGGCCCGGCGAACTCCCATAAAAAAAGGATAGGGGTGCTCGTCCTCCCTTTTAGGGGTTAAAATGCGGTTTTTTTTACCTCTGAGTGTTCAGCCTCACAAAGTCCACACCGGGAGCTTTTGCGGCAACCGTAATAAGAAATTCAAGTGAGCGACGAGAGATAATGTGTATCTCTTAGGGGTGAAAAACATTTCAAGCCACGCCCACAAAACAGGACCTTGGTACTTCTTTGGTGTTCTTTTCAAAATTTCCGATGAGCACCCCCGTCTTTTTTATAAGGGAGTCCCCTTCTACCTCGGGCCTTTTGATTGTCCGTTTAATTTCCCACCTTCCATTCTTGGGCAACTTTCTATAATAATCCACGGATGGAAGCAAATTTAATCAGAGCAATTTGTATTAATTTGATATCTTTCATTTTTCAACGTTGTCGAACGTCACCGCCCTGCCAGCCGAAGAACAAGTATCAGTTGTGCGTGCGAGTTTTTTGCGTTATCGACGTTGCTATGGAAAGTTACCTAGGACGCGGTCGCCGTTCTACGCGCCTCTCCCCAACCAACCGGAGGCCTGGCTGGATTGTTCGAAAGCCGGATAACGGTAACCCAAGATTAAAAGTTAACCAAAGTATTAATTTTTCTTGAATAAAAATGTTGTTCATTGCTTATGTATTGTGCAGTTTGAGATTACTCAAGTTCAAAACGGCACGACAAACAATATAAACAGAAAGCCTCACCGAAAAGTTACAAACCTGAAATCAAAACTCTCGGAATAGACTAGAACAGGACACAGATGCCAGAGAATAGGAGAAGCCAGAAACAATCTACACACAGTTGATTCACTAGCAGTAAAATGCACGATTTATTAGCAAAGTGAGTTTGACTGTCTTATGAACAGCTATCCCAGCGATAGCGAGATAGGTAGTTTCTTACAATCAATATTTATTTTGTTTGAGTTGTTACAAATTTAGTATCGAAGAATATAAATATACAAAGGTACAAAATAAATACGAAAGAAGTTCGAGTTCTGGTAGTCATTTCTTACAAATATTCGAGGGTTTTAAAAAATTCGCCATTGGAAATAGTCCTTAATTTTATGTCACTAACGTCGGGTTGTTTAAAGAAGATTCAACTAATCAAGTCCGGAAATCAGATAGTACGTCGACGAGAAAACACAAGAACAAAAGAAGACGGAAAACACATATAAAACCTACAGAAATGAAATTCAAAGTTCGGAGTGAATGCCTTCTATGCCTTGTGCGAAAGCATTACGGCTGCGAGATGCATCTTTTAATGTCAGCAGATGAATGTAGTGATTGAGAAACAGCACATTTCACTGTTAAACGAGTACGTTACGCCCGATGAGGAAAAAATGTTTGACTCAGCACCGACTATAACCCCTACAGAGCCGAGCCAAAATTTATAATTTCATTTACACACTGTCAGTCTATCTTCGACTTCTACTACTACTACTAACTTGACGCGTTGGAAATATTGCTTTCGCTTAAGCTAGTGGACTAACTGATAACAGAGATTTAACTATGCACTCTTGACTTAAGATTTATACCACACAGGTACTTACAGTGTAAACGTTAACTACAAAAACACTAGTTTAAAATGACTCCTTGCATTCTGTTCGCTGCTAAGACTACAGAACTATGCCTACTACTCTTTCGTATTGGGACTCTATTGGGACTGCGCGAGTTTTATGGAGAAAAATATTTGTATCTTGCTTCAAGTTTGAGCGATGGGTGTCCTGTCAACTGAATCTCGCCATCTTAGCGGGGATTTCTGGACAAGGAAAGAAAATGACAAAAATGTATTAGGTTGAAAGTAATCCGATCCATGCAAATGAATTATCACTTTTGCTTTCATGTGGTACTGTTAACTATGCTGTTCAAGTTGGTCCTGCTTTCAAGTATGTACATGAAACTCTAGTGTGTGACCATTCAAACAAGAGCTACTGCGCAGTACTTTCATGTAGTACAGTCTAGGTTCAAGGTGGTTCTAACTTTCAAGTATGGGAATGAAACCCTAGTGTGTGACCATTCAAATGAAAGCTATTGCGCAGTACTTTCATGTGGCAATGTTTATTATGTTGTACAAGGTGGTTCTAACTTTCAAGTCTGTGATTGAAAACCTAGTATGTGACCATTTGAGCAATACTTTCACGTGGTAGTGTTTACTGAGCTGTAAAAAGTGGTTCTTGCAAATTCAGTTTATCTAGTGCACCACCGTTTAAATGAAAGTACTGCTCAATAGAATAGTATTTGAATATACTCTACTGACGCTCACCTTCATTTGGAAATCCAGGAAACTCGCCGTTCCTCATGTGACTTGCGTACGCAGCATTAAACAGTTGCTGCTGACGTAGCATCCCGCCGTAACCAATCACTCGCTCTGGCTGGCCCCCCGCCATCATGGCGTCCATTGATGACGCCATCTGCTGTCTGCGCTGTTGTTGTTCTAAGTAGTACATCTGTTCTCTTGTGAGCGACTCCCGAGCAGGCAGCCCTGAAGGGTAACGATATTGCACGGAATTCAGGTCCACAAATTGAGAGTTCGCCCCGGGAGGCATTTGAGCGGACTCCATGTTCCGTTGATGCGCCATGGCGGATAAGTTCGGTCTGTACTGCAGAGGTGGCATCATCTCCGACGACCGTTTGTTCGCGTACATGGCGGCGTACGCGCTCATATCAGCCGCGCGCCCAGGATTGAAGCGTTCGTGTTTCTCTTCAGGGCTGTGCAGGTACTTCCCAGCCATCATCCGTTCGCGGCTTGCTGCATCCAGCGACAGGTACTGAGCGCGGTTTTCTGGACTGCCTTGCGAAGGGCTGATTCCTCTTAACATGGACGTAAAAGGCAGCCGATGATTTTTCTCCAACTCAGATTTGTCTCCGATATTACCTGCAGTAGGCGGTCCCGCGTCGTTAAGTTCTTGAAGAAAGCTGCCTGGCTGAACACCAGGCCAACCCTTGTACGGTGCTGCAGAGCGCTCGCTTTCCTTCAGATGTTTGTTCATATCTGCACTGGGCATCCTCTGGGGCACACCCTCCGTGTTACCAGACTCTACATGTCCGTTTTCAGACACACTTTCCATTGTTCTTTCTCGGGACTGTTTATCTTCAACATCAATCTCCTTAATCGGTCTAAGTTCTGGCATTTTCCTATAAAGACTAGAGTCAGAAGCGCTATTTTGAGGTGCTTTTTTAATAACACTCTCCGCAACATTACCTAAAAGTTTTCTATCGTTAAATTTCATCCCAAATGCATGTTCATGTGATTCTTGGCGACGAGGATCCCCATGGGACCCTAATCCTACCCTTTCTAAACCATCGTTCGGAGCAATACCATAGGGTCCTCGTCCGTGCACATTGTCATACGAGGCTCGTCCTGGAACGTTCTCAAAGGGCCCTTTTCCAGGCACCCTATTCAAATGATCGTTTGACGGAACAAGCCGGTCCCTGTTGTCTGGTGATCGCATGACCTGTCGCGCGGCAGTGGGGTGCATAGGAGGGATACCTTGAGGTGCACCCTGCGGAGCGGGCGCCTCTCTCATTTTAGCGCCTTCTGGATGCTGTTGATCATCTCTAGAGGCACCGCTTAAGATGTGGCTGATGGAAAGCGTGGCAGGAACTCGACTCTTGGCTTGCTGCATTGCTTCAACACTTGACTCTTCCCTGCCGTTGGTTTGAAGATCTTTCTGTTGTTGTTCTCCTTCACTGTCCTCTTCCTCGCTGTCACTTGAGTTTCCGGCCACTTGAGGGCCGCCAGCAAAGTTTGTTGGTTGGTCTTTTGATAGTTCAGGAGGGTTTGTGGCTTTGGCTGAAAATGAAGGAAATATAATGAGAAATGACAGCAAGAAGATAAAAAGTAATAATTACATGTAGCGTGTTTGTCAAACAGTGCAAACAGTTTCTAATTCTCGATTTATCAAGGGACAACAATATGCACTGCCTCTTAAATATTGCCACTTTCTACTTGGTAGAGTGACGCATCACTGAATTACCTTGTTGGCACCTTATGTCCTGAGCCGAGTCGCTTTTTTAAACACTAGTACCTTTTGTTCGTGAAATCCTCAAGGGAAACTTTCGCGAAATGCAGCAGTTTGCCTCTCAAAAGCAGTAATCGGAAGGTAGAGTCTGTTAGAAGTATTATTGAGCAAATTCTCTACATCAAATTGTTTTAAACTTAATCTCTTTTACATCTACAACATGTATGTATAGTACACGTGTTGTGCCTTACATGTATCGCTGTCATACCTTCCTCCCGGTAGGGACCCTCCGCTGATGGTGCCCTCTGCGGTGCAGTCTCTGGGGTCCGTCTGTCTATGCGCCAAGGCTCTCTTCCAGGTACCATAGGTGGTTGACCGTATGGTCCGGCGCCTCCTGGGGCTCCGTAAGGCATGGCCCCATTTCGAGGATAGCCTAAGAATGCCTGATTAAAGGACTGTGGCCTGTAATAGGGTGGGCCTCCGTGAGGTTGTTGTTGAGAATGTCGACCTCTCTCAGTACCACCAGTGACCGAGGAAGGAGTGGGTTCCCCTGAAGAGAAATCACACGCCCACAAAAGGGCAAAACTTATCAACAAAAGCACAAATTTAAAACAGAATGTATAACAATATTCGCTGAAATATAACCTTCGAATAATTCAGAAGGAGAAGTCAAATTTTGTTGCTTAACGATCATCGACTACGGATATTCGAGACGTCTTTTCTTGATTTAAGTTTTACGAGTAACCAGAATGTGCCTCTCGTTTTAGACTCCTTTGCAGACCTTATTTAGGCCGTGGTCATTTTTCTTGTTGAAGACACAACCTACCTGACGTAGAGACAGGAACGGCTTGTCGCGGAGACAGCTGCTTGGCTTGTTCTGCCTGGTTAGGGCTGTTCACGTCGTTTTCCCTGGGTTTCCGCTCCATGTTTCCGCTTGCACCTGGCATCCCATACTGGAACGGCATCCTTCCCGCCATGCGCTGGGGTGGGAAAGGCGATGGCTGAGGCGGCTGTCCCATCTGCCCCATAGGATTCCCCTGGGGGTATCTAAACCTGTTATACTGGGGTCCAGGCTGCGACATGCCAAACCTCGCAAAGGCCGCTTGGTTGAAAGCATTCTGATAGAACTGTGGGGGGTACAGAGGCCTGCCATCAGGGGCAAAGTGAGGAGGGCTTGGGAAGGGCATTCTAGAGGGGTGGTGGGAGGGCATCATACCACCATTTGCCATGCTGTTAGGCATCATGTGATTTGGAAACATTGACTGCATTCCAGAAGGTCCCATCTGCGATGCAAACGGGTGTTCATCTGCGTGATGCGTATTTCTAAAAATCTCGGGTGCCGAGCCGCTCTCGCCTCGCTTTTTCTTGTCCTTCTTGCTCTTCCTGGCAAGCTCTTCTTCAAAATCTTCGTCACTGTTGTCATCGTCTTCAGGAAAGTGTTTCTTTAGCTGGCGGTTGAAAGCGGCCTCGAGGCTATTCGCCATCTTCGTGTACACTAGAATTGTAACGAAGACATGCACTTAACGTTGTAAGCTTTCTAGGATCAACTTACTTGTAAATTTACTAGCCAACGATATCAAATTTACTCACTGCTATCAGACCCGTTGTAGTCCAAACAGTTTTCAAACATTAACTTCATATCTGCAGTGAACTGCAACACAACAACGAAAAGAAAGATCATTAATCATTGGATGACAGCAATCAAACCCCAAACAAGCGTGTGATAAAGTCAAACTNGAGAGAGAGAGAGAGAGAGAAAAAAAACAGTGCTATTCACCTCATTCAAACTGGTGTATTTACTATCCTCAAGCTTTTGTTCAATGGTCGACAAATCCATTGGTTCCTGCAAAATCAACGAGGTTGTTACAGATGTACAATACTCTTTACATTAGAGGACGTTACCTTACAATAACTGTTACCAAGGAAGACAAACACTAACAACACCATAGAGAACAAGGACGGTCAGTGATGAAGAAGATTGAGAGGGTTTGCAAGTGATGAATTTGAGACATTTTTGCAAATATTACAATACTAGACACAGCCCATCTACCAATGTATGATACACATCTCATTCCCACCATAATATATTATTCCTCAATTTTCAAATTCCGTCTATCGTGAAAAATATATGAACAAGGATAATAAACACTCAATCTCTTTCCACTTGGGAAACTATTTCTCTTCTGGTAGTAGCAGTAGTAGTAGATGTAGGGTGACACTTAACAGCAAATAAAAGCTAACAAACACGAGGCACTCCGAAATTACAATAATAAGATCCACTACATTACTGTTTATTTCTGGTAAACAGATAACATCCATGGACAAATATCCAAGCATATTTTTGTGCCAAATGGAGGTTATTGTTTATATAACTCATGGAACTAACGTTAACCTACGTGTACCTGGAACAAAGGCAAGTGTGAAGCTACATATAGCTTCAAGTCAGTGAATTCATATTTGAGCAGGACTGAATGACTTTTTTTCTACATGGCTTTTACTTACCTCTATAATTTCATAGTATTGAGGCGCATAAGATTCCTCTACAGGCTCCAAGAAAGGCCACGCGTTGTTATGCTTCTTCAAGGCATCCAAAACTATAGTGAACATGAAAAAGGCCATGGTGTGAATACAGTTGTTGCAGGTACAATGTATCGTACAGCTTCTACATGGACAACTTCGTACAGTTATATTCAACACCCTCATGCTAACAGGGAGCACCGTAACCTGAGGAACTACAAAACATTTCAAACCGAACAAGAAAAATAAAATTCTGATTACTGATATCTAAGCGGCATCATTTGAAGGAACTAAGTCATGGTTTGCACATCTTGAAACGTTTAGCCTAAATTTTTCAAGTTTGTTGTTTGTAATCCGTGTTAATTTTCTCTATCCTTGTTCCTTTATGGTTTATTATTATCTCTTTTGTTTTTTTCTATCTTAGTAACCTACTATTTTCAGATATCCTTCAATTTAAAGGTAATTTTGTACACGGCCAAAATAACTCAAAATGTCGTGGCTGAGCTCCTTTAAGGTCGTACTGTAAATTCGCCCACTCTTGTTTTAGTTTTGTGCAACACTTGCAATAATTTTTACACTGTACATACTTTTATGGAGTCTTGCTGATCTGGCAGTTTCACTATGATCATGGCAAAATATTGCTGTTCTATACAATCATCGTTTATCAAAGATCATGAATGTCATCTGCATATTGAACATAAACTTGTTACAAATCCTTACCCTTAAACATTCCAGTATAGAGGTCTTCGTCTCTCTCCTCCAGACCAATGTCCTCTCCCTCCATTGTTGTTTTGTTTCGTGTGCTGGCTGGTCGTCTTTCCGTGTCACTATCCTTGTTTTCTTCTTCCTTATTGAAGCTCATTTTCACTTCATCAGGAACAAATTCACCGCTAGCCATTAACCATTGTCTCTCTTCACGCATACGTGCTCTTCTTGCTCTCTCTGATAAAAGGTTAAAAAAAAAAAAAAACACTTTTTAACCCTATTTTCAAATTACTCAAAACTTTCCACTTTGGGACTGTAGTTTTGTACGTGTGTGTACAAGTTTTCATGTGACTGCACGATACAACTACAAAACAAATAAAAATAAATAAATAGGAACTTTGAATGGAATCTGTCTCAATCACTAACCCTGTTGTCTTTTCTCTGCTTGTTGTTGTTTCTCTCGTTGTCTCTCCTCCTCTTCCTTCTTTCTCTCCTCTGCTGCTCTTTCCCTTTCCCGCTGTCTTTCATTTTCCTCTTGTGACTCCTCGTCCTCTTTACCTTGTACTTTTGAAGCTATTCTATCAGACGCTCTTCTAGGGGCCATCTCCATCAGTAGTTTCTTCCTCATGGCTTTATCCTGCATCAAAAAGGTCACAACAATTAAATTTCTTTGTAACTTACAGTTCCTCGTTATTGCTGAATAACACTTTGTATTTTTTTTTTATTAAACATATAGTTACATGTACATAAAACCCAGGTGGCCCATTAGGCTCGCTCTTATCTCTGCTTTCTGTAGCATCAAATTACTAGGAGTATTTCTACTCCCCCCTGGATGGGATGCTAGTCCATCGCAGGGTTACTCCCTGACATTAAATTTGCCAGTACCCATTTATACACCTGGGTGGAAAGAGGCACTGTGAGAGCAAAGTGTCTTGCCCGAGAACACAACACAATGGCCCTGTCCAGGGCTTGACAATGGGATGCACAACTTGAAGTCGAGCACACTAACCATGGAGCCACCGCATCTCCTACTTATTTTGCTTATTGTTATTGCAATATCTCTATAGTGTGCCAAACTACATTTCATGCAAATAAGACAAATCATGCATATTTGTAGTGAAACTCAGAAATGATTCAACAACTTTTTCAGTTAGATGAGAACATACTATACATGTGCAGGATGATAGAAGAGAACATACGCACACAGGACTATAACACTGCTAAACTCTCAATTAAAACATCAACTAAGAATCTGGAATTAACAGAGTGGAACATTATTTTTAATACACACATGTATGTGCATTTATTTACTGATTGGTTGGAATAGCTGAGAAAAATTCAAAAATACCAATTGGCCGTGGCATACGTTTTGTTCCAAGCATCACATGTTCAAATCTACATGTATGCACTGTTTGTTCATAATAATAAAAAACAACGTGCCAAAGAACCTCAGGCTCTCGTAAATGCCCACACACAATGTGCACCCAAGTACCTTTGCCTCAATCATCTTGCCTATCTCTGGAACAAAGTCAACACTAAGCGTCTCATAAAGCATCTTTTCATCTTTGTGTTTGCTTTTCTTGAATGATTCAGCTAACTGTTGCCACTCCTCCTCCGTGGAGCAGACAACAGTCCATGAAGGCCTTGGCTTCTTTTGTGCATCTTCCTTCCCCTCAGAATCTACGTCTTGCTCATCATCATTATCGTCTTCATCGTCAGCATAATCACTGCTGGGAAGTTCACTGCTTGGACTAAAGACAATTTTTTTTTTTTGTCAGCAACACTTTATTTCAAAAATTAACAAACAAATGTTTCCCTAGTCCATGTAGGATGGAAATATCTGTAAATGTACAGACATGAGACACCAACCTTTAACAAATTGATGTCACTTTTTCATGCATCTGTCCTGTTATTGATCATGAATTTTGTCATAACATTGTCAAAGTAGCTGTGGATCCAAGAGGCAATAGCCTTTCTAAAACTTTAGTTTATTTAGCGCCAGTCAAGATTAAGGGTATCAAATACAAAAGTTGCACCTTGATTCAGAGTCGGCCTCTGAGTCAGATGAAGATCCTTTGGCTTTCTTTTTCTTCTTCACCTTCCCTTTCTTTTTCTTATTTTTTGCCTCCAACTTTTTCTTTTTCTTTGACTTCTTGTTAGTTTTGCTGTCCGACTGTTCAGGCTTTTCTTCTCGATATAATCTGGTGCCGTAGAAATACCAGAATGTTCTGCCCTCAGCGTCAAATCCAAGTGGCTCTACACGTAAACTGTCTGCATCTAAGCCCTGTAGAGCGAGAAAAAGATACCTTGAAACAATATTTTTATACAGTTTTGAGACTACATGCATAAATCACATAACTTGTACAAGGACAGGGGTTTCATTAAGGGCAGGGCACCGGCCAAATTGATCAGCTGTGAGGAAGATTTTGCCTGCCTGGTTTGAGGAAAGTTCTTCTCATAAAGAGGTTCAGTTCAAAAAGATTTTGCCTGCCTGTGAAAACCAGTTTCCCTCCTGCTGAAAATGTTAATGGAACCCCTGCAAGAAATAAATCTACAGGCTAAATTAAGTAGCTCACTCTGCTAACGTTAATCTTCAGTTTCAGTGGAATGAATTGACTTGGAGTATCACTTTGCCCTCGCTTTGCCCAAAGCAGAGGCTGTCTTTTCAGTTCACCAAGACACCCATCAAATGAAGGATGGATAATGCTATTTTGAACTTGCCACTATCTCAAACTCAAATCATCTGCCCAAGGTTAGATTTGCATTTCCAGTCATTTAAATGAGCTCAGTTGTGGTATTTAGAGTTACTTTGGCCAGGTATGAAATAATTACTTTCAAATTGAGAAGGACACCTGAAAATGTTTATAGTTTACATGTAACACTAAGACAGAAAAACACAAGAGATGAAAATAAACCATAAAGGAACAAGGACGGTTAAGGAAGGAGAAGATAAACACGGATTACAAGTGTAGAACTTTAAAAGTTTAGGCTTAACTTTTCAAGATGCACAAACCATGACATAGCTCCTTTAATATCGACTACTTTGAGCTTGTGCGACCAGGAAATGTTTTGTTTCCATCAACAGTTTAAGATAGTGGTGTTCAACTGAGAAGTTCAACAACATCAGAAATGAAGCTCTTTTATAGGAGCTCAATCATGGTATTTTGAATTATTTTGGCCATGTACAAATTTATCTTTACATTGAAGGAAACTTGAAATAGTAGTTAACTGACTAAAGATAGAACAACATCAAAGAGATAATAACAAACCATAAAGGAACAAGGATGGTTAAGAACAGAGACGAATGAAATGGATTAGAAATGATCTTGGCCATGTACAAATTTACCTTTACATTGAAGGAAACTTGAAAATAGTACATGTAGTTCTAACTAAAGCAAGGAAAATGTCAAAGAGATAATAATAACCCATACAGAGAACAAGGATGGTTTGGGATGGAAAAGAATGAAATGGATTAGAAACGATCGACTTGAAAAGTTTGGGCTTAACTTTTCAAGATGCAGAACCGTGAAATAGTTCCTTTAAGTACCACAGGCAGTATTACAGCCCAAGGAAACAGCAACCAAGGCAAGGGGTTAAACTACGGTCAGGGCAGTACTGTTGAAGATCTATGTGTATGTATAAGTATTTTTAGATTGATCCCCACCCCTAGCAATAATCTGACCAACTTGAAGTGTTTCAAGATGACTGAAGTGGACTTAAGGAAATCATTAAGAAACCCAAGAGTTTATTAGTGTGAAATTTGATGACCTGAATTTGATGCCTTATTAAGTGTCTTCAAACTTGAGGACAAAGTTTCCTTCACTAAAAATGAACTTAAGAGCATTGAAACACAGTATTCATGCACAGATGAATAAGAGAAAGATATAACTTGAGCCACTTTTGAATCAAATGCCAATTGTAATATCACTCAACAGGAAGCCAATCTGTTTGACCCTGCATGCATCTGGATTATTCTAATATGTGAATCAGCTGCTTGACATTTAAACAGCAACAAAAAAAAAGTAAAAGGTTTTAAGGTGAAATCCCAGGGACGGATGCAGCTGAGGTATTGTGTGGTATTAAGTATCACCTTGTTTCATAACTTACACCGTCTTATGAGCTAAAAACAATGGTTTCAAACAAGAAATTTGCTTCTGAGTGACAATTACCATGCTAAGCATGTTTTCTTGAACACGATGGACTTCATAGGCCAATATTTTTGTTCTATTTAATATATATTGTGAGATAAGATGGAAATTTTGATGAAGTGTTTTTCAAATAATTTCTAATTAATTGATATTGATGAAGAAAAATGCACTTTCCTTCTTGTCTACCCTTATGAGAGCTGTGTCGTGTGCTATCACAACAGGCATCAATGTAGAGTGCCGACGACATTGTTCTGATGAACACTAAAGAATCAAGAATCAACATCTGGGACAAATAACCATAAATTAACGAAAGTTGCAAAATAAGAATTAAATGTGTACTACAAAAATTTGAAATCTGATGCTGTTTACAAAATGGTAATTAAAAGTAAAGTGCTGTCTACATTGTTCTGATGATCACTAAGTCTAAAGAATCAAGAAACAACATTTGGGCAAAATACACATAATTTGACGAAAACACAGATCTATGCAAAATAATAATGTGTACTGCATAAATTAGAAATCTGACGATGTTTACAAAAACTCGATCCCTGATTTATCTGTCTTGTAATCAGTACTTTCGCTGTTGTTCATACCTATTTCAACACAAGAAGCCCCAGTCACATTGTACTAATAAACCTTTTACATGTAGCTCTCACAAATCAAATTTACATGTAAGTTAGGCCAATTTTGGGGGCGCTAGAACGTGGTCTGGACATTATACAAAAAATCCTGTTTACTTGATTTGTAGCCAAGATTTCAATATTTGGTTACTAATTTAGCCTTCTGTAATTTCTCTCAACTTTAAACAATCTTAATCATCCTTACTCAGTTTTGGTTTGCTGTCACCTTTCTGGTATCATGAAATTATTGCTAAATGTTTAGCATTTTGAGGTCTGAGGCTGTTACAGTCATGTGTACTTTAAGATGGTCATTACATTCAAGAGTTCAGGACTACGTAACAACTACAAGTATTATGATCATGACTTGTACTTCCAGGGGGTTGTTACAGGGCTTGTTATTTTCAATTTGTTACGGTAGGCTTGTTGCAAAAAAGCTAATTAAAATTTCCTTCTCTTTCTGCCAGCTTATTTCACCAGCTGAATTGTCAGAACTTGAATCCGGCTGAAATTTCACAAGAAAACAAAGGATTGGGGTTACTTTGGAGAAGCAAACACCAGAAAAGCTGACTGGGTTTGTTCTGAAATGAGCTGGCTTAGTGTTTTCTTAGCTACATTCCTGGGTTGTGAAAGTAATCATTGTGTAAATGCCTCAACTACATGGCTCAATGACTCAATGTGATGAACTTTGTCTACGACAAGTGTTAATTAGTGAGTATAGATGTTAGCCATTATATTCAATTAATGTAATTATTAGACATCACTCTTAAAACCAATATTTGCTTTAGATCTATTCAAGTTTTCATTTTTTGAATGAAATAGATCTATTCAGCAACATACATCGTTTTAATAACTTGGTTGATCCTGAAGGCAAAGATGTGGTTTATTGTCAGACAAAGGAGTCAGTATCATAAGGACTTTGAATACCTCAAGTTTTGTGTCAAAACATTCCAGCAGTTGGTCCCCAATTTTTCAGTCTCCAAAATATGAAATTGAGAGGGCTACCACATACTGTGTCTCAAAGATGACTGCCATATATATTTGTGTGTCTACAGTTATAACTCAAGGAACTATATATTCATCATTAATTTTGTGCTCTTAAAACTTTTCATTCCTAAGGGTATCCCTTGGTACTTCTAAGTTCTTCAAAGGCTATATGTACCTCTCATCTCAAAAGTAGTTATGAAACTTGACATTCAATATTAAATTAATTTCATGAACTATCTAGTAATCCTTATTACTGCACCAGCTTACAAATTTATACAAGGACAGCATAACGTCATTTAATTTTTTTTTATGAGCTATGTTTGGAATTTATAAATTAGCCGTTATCGTTGTAACTTAAATAACACTTGAATTTTATTAAAGTATGCAGCTAAATAACATCAAGAGGTCAAGCGCAGTAGACCATTTCTGTTAATAAACTAGAGTTACTGCTCTAAATGTACCTTAAGTAACTCAGGAACATCTTCTACATCAAGTCTGAAATCACAAAGGTTGTGAAGGATTTCTACTTTTTCTCTTGTGGAAAGTTTGCTAAAGAAGAAAAAGAGACCAATATAAATTTCTCTATAGCAGTATAAATGGGATACAATGACTAATATATCAGCATTTTAACGATCATGATATTTTATTTTAACATTAGCATTTCAAACACAGAAGACAATGCGACAGATTATTCATTAATAATTTAATTCACGACACACTGTTCTGTAAAAACAATAATGTTGTCTGTCATTTCTGCCAGTTTCATATCTAATCCAGAAAGTCAATAACTACAGGTTTAAGTGTATTCAAGACACTGTGATATTTGAACAAATATTGTTCTCTCATTCTGACAACAACTCTGGACATGAACAACATGAATCAAGAATTTTGAATAACTACTGCATCTGCAGTTTTACTTTACAAGTTAGAACACTTGCGACAAAAGTATTACGCACTTGTAAACAGAAACCTGAGTTACAAAGTGTATGAGAAAATAACCATGTCAATAACAGAACGCTTTCAACCATGTATTGAATGTCAGCAAGGTTAAATTGCTTGACATTCGAAAGAGTGACAGTTTAAACATCTAATGTACATGCAAATATGATATTATAATTTACTAAGCTCATAACAATCGTGGACTAAATGCTGAGACTAGATAAAAACTTGTCTCAATTTTTTAGCAGACGATTATTGTCATAAATTACGAGAATAACATGTGTTTGAAGCCCCCTATATCTCTCTGAAAACAATTACTTGTATCTGAAAACATGATGGGTTTGTTCTGTAAGCTTTTAGTATGGCAACTTTCTAGTTGTTTATCCATCAGAAAAATTGAATACTTTGACAGTCAACAAGGAGTTGAAAACATAAAACCAAGTAATGAAGACGAAAGAAATACCCTGAAGGTTGTAACTTGTAACATGCAAACTACATAATTAAGATGGCAACTTGTCAATTTCCATATTATAAAGCTTACCCATCTTTCTATATCATAATGTCGAAGTCTTGACAAAAAAATAAGCAAAGATTGAATCTTCAGGTCACATCCAACTAGATGTTTGATGAAATGAAAGCGTGCTCATGCGAAAATACGTCTAATCGTATTTCTCTGCCAAAAACAATACGGCCTTGTATGCCACATGGGCCTCAACAAATCAACAATGGCTGGCTAGGACAACCGACCAACACAGAGAAATAGCTGTCCAAAATACCTGTATTCTTTGTCTGCAAGCGGGTTTCTCTTCCCTAATTCATCTTCCCAGCGTATTTTTAAAACTTGTGACAGATATGGTTCAAAATTCTCGGCCCTGAAATGAACATGAAATAAACATGGAAAATGTCACGACACGGCGGAAAGGAAAATTGACAAGGAAGCAAGCATAACAGAACCTTGTGGCAACTACACATAGCCACAACAAATTTCATTTTCCCAGCCACAAACCTCTAAATATAACTCAAAATTCACAAGCAAACCGAATAACGAATAGCAGATATAAATTTACCATAGGATCCCTCAATAAATATTTCACGTGTCAGAATATCAAATCGCACGTTCTTGTGCGTCCATTTTTAATAGCCGACTAAAAGGTTTAACTGCCGCGGGCTTTGAATGAAGTTTATCGACGAGCAAGGAACTTCTGACAGATCTTATGCTATCAAAAGAGATCTACAGATCGACATGTTTCGATCCAAAAGGAAATAGCAGATGAGACATCCAACATCGTCAACCGATAATCAATCGGGCCGCGAAACCAAGATGGATATTTGTAACAAATTAATTCCTGGCGTGAATCGATGAGGGAAAAAAAAAAATGGTTTCAAACAAGTTATCAAGGCTTAACAACACTAAATGGATTTCTCAGTGCTCGCAAGAACTGATAAAAGTGCTAGCGACGAGTAGATCTTTTATCAACACATAATAAAAGTGTACAACCATGAATAAAATACTCGAATTCGTTTGACAATTACGTGAACAGAGGGCGACCTAAAACTATGTCTCACGTCTGGTTCGTTTTTTTTTTTGAGTCGAAGACTTAATTCAGAAACTAGTAATAACATTGTCGTAGCAATATTTACACAGTTCCAAATTCTAGATAATTTCATTTTCGAGAACACGGCCTACATTATTAGACAATGAGGGAAATTACCATGAGGTAGGCCAGCGAGATGAATTTGAAACATTCACGTTTGCACACGAAATAAACTAAAAGATCGTATTTTTCAGTAAATATACGTAATCACACAAACAAAATCAATCAATGAATTGTTAAGACATTTTAAAAGAAATATTAAAAGGATAAGCTGATGTATGAAATAAAGAAACAATAAAGTAGAACCGAAACCGTCGACTTACGTTATGTCCTTTATTCCATATAAACCCCTCAACAATCGAGCGTGAAGATCGGCCAAAAATCGGTTGTTTCCCTCTTCATTAGAACCATCAATGACAAGTGCATCTTCTAAATCCTTAAAGAAGTAAAACAACGTCTTTTAAGCTCAAATGTGACGGGAGTTAGAGCGATATATGTCCGTCTAAAACTCACAACCTACGCTACCAGTTTTCACTGTAAATTCAAATTTTTAAAATAAACAATGCACGGAATAGTTTGAGCGAAGAAAGGTCAAAGGCGTAAAAATAAAAGGAACCTAATAGCCAAGCCTTCTGAATTACACACTCAATAAACGATAAGAAAAAATTGCGGCTCTTAGTTCAAAAAGGTAATTGAAAGATCCTGGTACCTCGATTTCGAAGTCAGTCAATCCGAAGGCCGCGCGGAACAACGAACAGAAGTGTGCTATCGATGGTACCTCCCACCAATTTCGGATCTCTGCAAGCCGGAGAAATATGATAAGTACAACATTTCAACTTTTCAAAGCCACCTCAAACAAATGTTAAAGCAGCAGAGAAAATGTATTTACAAGGCCGTTCAACAGTACCTTCCATGTCACCCAAAACAGATGGCCGACTCAGTACAATGACGACACAAGATGAAGCCGGGAACATCCGGGCTTTTCCCTCAGGACCACGCCTTCAGAGGTCTGGGACGAGAAAAAGGAAGCTTTGACTGACTGTCTTTCACGGACAGACAATACAATCGACAAAGGAAGGAATGGACGGCAATTTCAGTAATTTCGTATAGTTTTCTTATTTCGGGGAAAGAATGACAGAGGGTAAGTGCTCTGGAATCGGTCTATTTTCCCTGCAATTTCAAGAAGTCAGTGGCTTGCACTAATGTAGATGGGCGGATTTTTCTTTTTCTGTAAAATGCCACCATGCATGCATAATAGATAATAATAGTTCATCACCATAGTTCGCCAGCGTTTTTCACGGTGGAGGCCCCATGCAAACCATGTGCGTTAGTCCATGGTCTAAATTTTGTCAGGGGAAGACAAGATATCAACCCATTTTAAAGCCATGCAATTGACAGAACCAGGAGACCGAACCTAGTGTAGTTCGTTAATTGAAGGCCGCGTAGATGTTTTTGTCTTACTCCTTTGTGTGTCAGTTGACGAAAAGAAAAACGTTTATTTCATGGTTAGAATAAAATTATATAATAGTTAAAAATTACGGCCCAGTTGCGTTGTGCATGTGACCTCGTCAAGTGTCAGGAAAGAAGGGACTTGTCACGCGCGGAATCACGTGGCGCGTTCGTCCCCTGTGAGGTCACTGCAGCGAATTTAACTAACTGCATATATGGGTCTCACATGCAAGCTTTGTTTGCGCCTTTTGTCGCGAAATATATTGAAATATGGCACCGCTGAACCAGTTATGAGGTTTAAATGACTGAAATGGAAGAAATTTGTGCTTATATAGGCATTAATCCGAAACGTCACGCAACGATATT